GCGACTAGAGGGTATTTCCAGTCAATTTGACAACTTTCATTTTTTGACCTCCATACAACAATTGCAGCTCAACGGCGATACCTGAAAAAATGAGCAAAAATGAAAGTTGTCAAATTGACTGGAAATACACTCTATTCGACTCAGTGTTTTGTGCTGATAACGAATCTGTATTTAGTTTATGACTAAAAGTCTTATTTGAATTCGAGAAGCCTTGAATACCGCCTAAAATGACTATGATACCAGTAAAAACGATTTTTCTCAACACAGGAAAGAAAAGAAAAAAAAAAGGATACGTAACTTTGTAACTGGTGGTAAGATGAGTCGAATGAGATAAAACATTATCACTTACGTAGAAAAACTAGATAGGTTTACAAAATCGACCAATATGTGATGCACTCGACGCGATTCGAAACGTCACCATCAGTAGGGTTTGGAGTCCAGAGTCGATTTAAGAACTTTCTTATATTCAGCTTTTTATGCTGAATCTGGAAAAATTATGTTCAGAAGCAAAAAAGAAGAACGAAGTAGAAAATTTTGCACATTTCGAGAAAGAACGTGTTTTTTCTCGAAAACGACACCTTTCGAGTATTTCGTATTTTTCGACCGGAAGGAAGCATTTGCTAAGGCTAAAAGTAGTTTTTCGTGATCAGCAGCTCAAGCTCTATCCAATGATGTAAAGAAAGCACGAAAAAAAAATTTACTGAAAGTTTGAATTGCCTGCACCTTACATATCGTATAAATATAATATACCGAGCTCATTTGTCTCTTTTCAGAGTATAAATTAATTTCCGAGCTCAAATATCTCTTTTTCATTAGATTAATGAATTTTCGAGCTCAAAACTCTCATTTATATAAAAAAATATAATTTTATTACAACCGAGCTCATTTCTCTCATTTTAAAGCCAACTATGTACACCGAGCTCAAATATCTCGTTTTTTCGAGCTCATTTATTATTTTATCCGTAGACAAATATGTTCTTTCAGTTATGTGATTAGGATAGTTTCACATTCTTTTTTTCAGGCAGATTACTGTACTAAATTTTCTCCAATCCAGCCGTCGGCGAAAATATTCAGCGGTGAGTTTAACCATGTTTGAATAGTGGTCACGAAAGTTAACCCATTATGTGACGAAAGTTCGCGGTCGGGTATGATAATAGTTGCAGATATGTTAGACAGTTGGTTACGAAAACTCTTGTGACTAAAGTGTGGGGTGATACTCCCCTGAAAGTACCATACACTTTCGTCACGAGTGACGAAAGTTCGTTTTTCTGTGTGATAAAAATTAACATGACGAAAGTGCTATCACCCAGCAAAACCACATGTGCAAGGACAGTCACATGAATGGATGCATTTTTCCTATCATATAGATGCCCAGATGCAGAAATTGCGCTTAAAAAACTAAGATTATGGAAAAATTGGCATTCAATAAAACATGAACAAGGCTACAAATAAAGTCATAAATCAGTTGAAGTACGCAGTTTAACGAACCCAGCTCATAAGATAATTCTTTTTCTGATTATCAAACCATGAAAATTTTTAAATTTAAAAAAAAAAAAGACTTATCTGAACCTTATCTGAGAGATCTAGATTACAGAAGGATCAACAACTCTAAAGCAGGTGAGCACTTGGAGTGGCTTAAACGAAGCAATTATTCAATGTGTCAATTATTGACAAAAAACGAAGCTTAGTTAGATACCGTCTGGTCGTAACGCTTCGTAGACCTGAAGTGTTTTTTTAATCAGTTGACTAAAGATGACCACTAAATATTGCTTACCCAACCAGTTGTTCGAGGGGTACTTCGAGTGATCAGAAATATGCTTTCGATGGGCCTTCGCCGAGGACTCGAACCCTCGGAAAATGACACTTCGGACCTTCGGTATAAGCATTCAACGGGTATTTCCGAGCCCTCGTCGGATTTCGGGACTTCCGAGCCTTCATCGCACCCTCTAGAGAGCGAGAGCTCGGAAGTCCCAAACATCTCTGTTCGACGGCTCGAAATTTTTCCCGAGGGCTCGCTGCTTATCTGAAATTCGAGGGCTCGAAATCGATACCCCTCGAAAGCTTATATCGCGTGTCCGAAATATCATTTTCCGAGGGTTCGAGTACTCGACGAGGGCCTGTTTTAGAGTCCACGCCGCATCGCTCGAACAACTTGACACGGTTAAGCGTTGCATCACTCTATCACAGCTTTGTCCATACGTTTAGGTATTTCAAGAGTGTGATCTTGAATTACAGCAACAGCGTGTCTTATTATATATTATAGTATTTATTGGCCTTGGAGTGGTTATGTTAATTACAATGTTCTTTCAAGTAGGCTTGATTTGGATGTTTTAGTTCAGTCCATCATTATAGCGATATATTTGTTACAGAGTTTTTTATTCTCTTGTTCTGGTGAACGATTAACTGAACGCTTACGATCAAAAGCATTTAATGTGATGTTACGTCAAGATATGAAATATTTTGATGACCCTGAAAATAATACTGGTGCTTTATGTACACGTTTATCAACGGAAGCTGCAGCTGTACAAGGCGTAGGTACTATGCAGTGATAATTCGACTTTTTTCATGTATGTTGTATGCGTATCTAGGCTACAGGTGTTCGAATTGGAACAATATTAGAAAATTTATCAAATTTAGGTGTTGGAATTATCTTATCATTCGTGTATGGATGGACATTAGCATTAGTCGTCTTAGGTTTCGTACCATGTATTATAGTAGCAGGATTTTTACAAATCTATCTGATGAGTCGTTTTGCTAGTAAGGATAAAGAAACATGTGAAAATGCAAGCAAGGTATATTAAGGAAAATAATAACAGAAGACAGAGAAACGTTGGTAAATTTAAAAGATTCTTTTATTGTAGTTGGCTATTGAAGTTATTCAAAATATTCGTACTGTCAAACAATTAACAAAAGAAAATGATTTTGTCAACGACTATTGTTGTTTGCTCGATGTACCATACAAGTAACGGTTCATCTTTTGACCATTTGTCATACTTTAATTAAAGGTATCCCTACTAAGCGTCATTAATTTTGATCAACATTCTGAGTAACGGGCATTTTGAGCCCGATTTGTTAGAAAGCATACCATCATTACAGCGACTTTATCCAAACAGCATGAAGCTGATGTGGATAGATAAAACTCGAATAACAATTACGGAAATCATATCGAGACTGTTGAAATCTACGTCGTAGTCGCATTCTTCATAGATGCAAGTGTGGGCAAGAATTTACCTAATCAACTATGTCGGCTTTTGTGTTTAGATCATCAATGAGACGTGCACATCTATTTGCATTTTTATTCAGTTTTACAAATTCAATCATGTTTTTTGTATTAGCGGCTGTTTTTTCGTTTGGTGGTTATTTAGTTGATCAAAACAGAATGACATTTGAGGATGTCTTGTTGTAAGTACACGAGACATTTAAGTTGTCGCCGCTCTATACATTCTTTTTTGTTTCTTCTCTATTAGAGTATATAATTGTCTTGTGTTCGGTGCCGAAGCAGTTGGTCAAGCCATGTCGATGTAAGTTTAATCAGATACACTGGCTTAAAAGTGTATTAAAGCTAAAATTTCAAGTTTCGCTGTATAGAATACCTGGTTATGGGAAAGCAATTTCAGCTGCTGAAAATTTGATTGGCTTATTTGACTCAAAAGTGACAATATATGATAATGATGATGATCCTTCTAAAACTAAAAGTATTGTACGTATTGCACAGGCACCACACTACAGGAAATTAAGTCCAATAAAAGATTGGATTTCTTATTGTATGTCTAGGCAGCTAATATGTGTGCTTACGTATAATCTCTAGCTGTACATAAGCAGAGGAAACGCTGCTAATGAGCAGTTAATGGATAGTCGAAAAGCATCACACTAGCCGCTAATTGCAACCACTTACTGTACGTCAGCGTGTTTCTATGCATATGAGATGTTCTGGTGATTTTTGTACCGTTTATCCCAAATACACGGCCTTTTCTGGTTCTCTGCTCATGCTGAACGAAACTACGTAACACTAGTGCCATTCTGCAGAAGACACTTCAGGGCTTGTCCACATATCCTAGCCAAAAAACGTCAGCCCGTTACGTTTTGAAACAATTATAGCTTCACAACGAGATAACGTAATCGCCTAGGCAATGTCTTATTTTGCAGAATAAACTATCTTCGTTGGTATGATAATCAAACGTACTCTCACAAGCATTTATTTCAAAAGTTATAACTCACGACGAAACCGCCCGAGATGGTAAATCGCGTTTTGTTCAAAAATTCAGTGGGTTATAGATTATGGACCATGCTGATTCCGAATATGACCACGAGGGTTTCTCATAGCCCTTCGAAGAACCGGTACTCTGGAAAATCAGTTTTTCAACAACCCTAAAAGACAACCCAAATCTTTCTTAATGAAACGTAATTGTAGCGCGCCAATTTCTGATTATAATGAGACATCTTACAGCTTGACACGACCTTTCTTTGCAAACTTATATCATTTATAAGAAAAGCCCTGAATATTCACTGTCAGCTCACAGAAGTACGAAACAAAAAAATTAATTTACAGCTTTTCTTGTAAATTCTATAACGTTGCAAAGAAAGGTCGTGTAGAGCTGGAAGATGCCTCATTTTAATCAGAAGTTTGCTACGATCATACCTCGTCGCGAAAAGTTTTGGTTATTTTTTGAAGTTTCTGAATAACTGGTTTTCCGGAACACCGCAGCTTCGAAACCGTAAAACATAGATCGAAAGGCGTAAAACTTTCATGATGTGGGTTTCTCTCCATGGCAAAACGAATGGGCAGCTTCGTTTTTATAAATACCTCGTAGAACAGGTTTTCCAGAAAACGACAGTTTCCAGAGACCACATTCTAAAGTCATCTGGAAGGAGTTTTTAAACGTACCAGTCGATAAAGCATGTTCGAAAACCTATACACGATTGCATTTGCGGCCTTAGTTGTCGGTTATTGGCTGAAGAACGAGGTATGCTTTATCAGTCTGTGCCTACAGAATCATTTATTGTTCACTATTGCTCTGGACCACATTTTGAACAAAAACGTTGCAGAAAGCACCAGAACCTCTCATACACAAAGTCATACTTTTCTCTGAAGTATAGGATGGGAGAAGTGTCGCGTTTCAGATTGTAGGGCCTGTGCTATTAAGCTGTTTTCTTCTGGTTTTCAGAGCGATTTCCACGGTGAATTACAATTGGATAATGTTTCATTTGCCTACCCAAATCGATCCGACAGTTTAGTATTGGACAATTTTTCCTTGACAGCTAAACCTGGTAATATTAATTCCGGTCTTTCAACAAAATACTTGAATATTTTTTCCTTTATTTTACTTCATAACTATACAGGTCAAAGAGTGGCTCTAGTAGGTTAGTAAATGATATGTATCTTTACGCTCTTTCAAATTATCGCAGTTTTGTAGGTGCTAGTGGATGCGGTAAATCGACAATTATTCAACTGATTTTGCGATTTTATGATCCTCATCACGGTCACTTGGTACGGGAAAGGATCAGAAGTAGATGATGATGTGCTTCTCTTTTTTTCTCTAACTATAGAGAGTAGATCAACATGATATTCGTAGTCTGAATCTCAAATGGTTTCGATCGCAAGTAGGATTTGTCGGACAAGAACCGATATTGTTCAATATGACAATTGCTGAAAATATTGCTTATGGTGACACATCGAGAAAAATCAGCAAATCAGAAATTGAACAAGCCGCAACAGATGCAAACATACATGAGTTTATTAGTAATGAACTACCTGAGGTAAATATTGTATATTTTGTCAAATTGCACCGTCACAGTATTTTTTATTGTAGAAATATGACACAAAGGTTGGTTCAAAAGGTCATTATAGCTTATCAGGTGGACAAAAACAACGAATAGCCATTGCTCGCACACTAATTCGAAACCCAAAAATACTTTTGCTTGACGAAGCAACAAGTGCCTTGGATGCAAAAAATGAAAAAGTACGCGTGTATTAACAAAGAAAATAAAAAAAATCCAAAACAAAATTATTTTCTAGGATGTTCAAGAAGCCCTTGATCGTGCTCAAAAACATCGTACATCAATTACTATTGCTCATCGTTTATCAACAATACAAGATGCGGATTTTATTTGTTTTGTACATAATGGACGCGTGACTGAGTCTGGCACCCATAGTCAATTATTGGGGAAACGAGGATTATATTACAATTTAGCAAAACGGTCTTAGAATTTTTAAGGCCTCGAAACGGCGGAAGACGAACAGGACATGGTGATGCGTTTGAAATTATAGTTCATGTGTGATACTTCACAATGATTTTGATAGAGAAACCGAATATATTTAGGAACTTCTACTAGGGTATAACTATCTAAGGAATTGTTTAGATAGAAGGCGAGGCGCCTTTTATTTCCCTGTCTTTCTATCTAAACATGATCGTGGCTTTAAAATATTTTAAAACGAAAGTTTTAAAATTTAAGAGGTTAGGTAGATGCTATAGCACTTTATTGGTTATGTTATCTTTAAATCGGTTCTATAACTTTGGAAAGAAACATCGTGTAGTACGGGAAGGGGTCTCATTTTAATCAGAAATTTGCGGGCTACAATCCTGCCTCATTAACTAAGATTTTGGTTATTTCTCAGGAGTTTCGACAAACTGGTTTTTCAGAAATCCGGTCTCTGAGGACCTATCGGCCAAAATGATTGTTATATTCGGAATCAGCATAGTCGATAACTTATAACCCACTAGGTTTTAGCCCGAAAGCGATTTACAACCTGAGGAGGTGCCTCATTAGTATTTAACAATGCATTCAAGTTTCCAGAATGTATTTTCAGGAGAGCTCGAACCCTAACGATTTTTATCTACAAAAAAATGAGGATGAAGTTAAAAACTAAAACCAATTAAAATAACTTTTAATCCAGATTCTAAAATCATTGGACCTGGTGAAAGAAAAACTCATGCAGGAAGTCGACTCAAATACCTCTGATATAAGATCGACTCTAATCTAGATCATTGAACAACGTTCTTCCATTTATGTCGGAACAAGCGTAATGGAAAAAGCAGTTTTTCTATGTGAAGGCTAATTTCTTTTGCCCAGAAGTGAAAATATTTCTTTTGAGGTTTTGAAGTAAGTGCTCAAAACCTCAGTAATTTTATTCTTCACTGACGAATAGAACTGAATTCTTTGTCACACGCTTGATCGCAGTTAAATTAGCAGACATGGCTTTAGTATTATGACTTTTATCAGCGTACGAAGTACTTACGGAATCCAATAACTATCTTCACCCGGTTCTAAATGATACTTTCGTCAAAAGGCCATTTGTCCCGGGATGTCATTGATCTTTGAACCAGTATAGGTCAATTGCTTGTCGAAATTCTTTACGTTTTTCAATTAGATCATTACCAACCATTGACCATTCAGTATAATCATATCAGACGAATTTTCGTTGTTTCAAAAATAATTGTTTTGTGTTTTCCGTATAAGCTTAGCTGCAAGGGGAATCTTTAACTGAAAATAAATCCGATTGGCACCGAAACAGTGTCAGATTGAAGCGATTCATGAAAGCCGTGTTTGTAAGGCGCGGCTAATTCAAAGTTTAAGCACTATCTTTTTTTTGACTTTATCAGACATTTTCTGATAGAGAATAACGAGCTGAATCCGAAT